TTGAAGGAAATATTGAAGAAGAGCTTGGTCGAAGTAAAAAGAACAAGAAGCTTAGTTGGCAGTTGAAATCTCTTTTTGATCAGGAAAGAAAAACAGGAACATCGATGGCAGACAATCAAAATACTCCCAAGAGTTTAGGCTGGATAAAATCAACATATACTCGTAGGTGTATTTTTCATTATGCCACAGATGATATAAAATTATTGAAGAAATTCATTGTGTGGTTGGGCAATGAGAAAAGGAGAGGTCACAAAAAAGAGTAAGTCCCTTAATGTATTTCAGTATTGATATTGAAATTGCTAAAGTTAAGTGTCCTTAACTTCTATCATTGTAAGTCTAAGTTTAGGACCAAGTGTCCTTAACTTTTGAATTTGAAAATCAAAGTTAAGGAGCAAGTGTCCTTAACTTTTGAACCACAATTCAAAGTTAAGGACTGCATGTCCTTAACTTTTGAACCTGCAAGTCAAACTTAAGAACTCATGTCCTTAACTTTTGAACTTGATACTCAAAGTTAAGGACAAACAGTCCTTAAGTTTTGAACTTTGAACTCAAAGTTAAGGACAAGAGTCCTTAACTTTTGAACTTGATACTCAAAGTTAAGGACAGACGGTCTTTAAGTTTTGAACTTTGAACTCAAAGTTAAGGACAAAGTGTCCTGAGCTTTTAAACTTGTAGTCTAAGTTCAGGACCATGTGTCCTTAACTTTTGAACTTGAAATTCAAACTTCAGGACCAAGTGTCCTTAGCTTTTGAACCTGTAATTTAAATTTAAGGACTGCCTGTCCTTAATATTTCAACTTGAAAGGCTAAGTTCAGGACTAACTTCTAACTTTGATATTTTCAAAATTTTCAAGGGACAAACTGATATATATGCTGATGATAATGGTGTGAAAAATAATCCATAAAAATTGTATCATCAAAAAATCAATAGCAAAATGTTCTTTTTTGAGCTTTCAGATAGCAGCTTTGTACTTGATGATAATGTTAGATAATTCGCAAGGTATTTATTTTCTTTATTCTTAATTTATCATTTTTTTATTATTTTATGACTGATGGACTTGTTTTATTATTTGACTTTTTATGAAGCATATTGACATTACCCTATATTATCTGAGAAAGAAGGAATTCTACCACCCTCACAACCATCCTTTTTGTTGCACAACTACTGATATTCTTTTTGATAACTATATGGTGCTTGTGTATAAAGATTTCAGTGAAGATGATGCTGATGACTTTTGGTGTGCTGGTGATAATTAGTTGTTTGTGACACCATATGTGTGGGGGACAGTCGTAGATGTGGAATTGCTTGGACAGAGGTTGACAAAATCTTTTTTCCATGTCGGCTCCCTTCAGAAGATTATAATGCTGTGACACACTTTCTTTCGGCGGTATTGGACTTGAATCAGAAAAAGATTGATGTATACGATTCCGTATATAGTGAGCCATATGAGGCAGGAATGAATCATATGGAAATGTATGCACGCACGATCCCCCACTTGCTAAAGTTCTCACAGTTTGACAAACATCACAAGTCTTTTGGAAATGCCTTCAACAAATTTGATATTCAGTGGCAAAGATCACCACACCAGATTGGATCGTACGTGGTGTTATTTGTTATATTATTTATATATACTTTAGATTTATTGTTTAATTCACTGCATATCTTACATTTTTCTTAGGACTGATTGTGGTGAATTCTTGATCAAATATGTGGAGTTGTTGATGATTGGAAAGGATGTATAGAAATTCCAACCTAAAGACATTAAAGACTTTAGAAAAGAACTTGCCGCAAATCTTTGGGCACATAGTGAGTGGAAAAGAAATTTTGGTTATGATACACCACCAGAAAATGTTGGCGATAATTATGAAAGTGAAAATGAAACTTGCTGTCCAAAAGAGTTGTAGTTTAGTTGTAAAGAAAATTAGTTGTGGTTGATCTTTTGTATAAAATTATGTAAAGAATCCATATGAATTCTGCAAGTTCAGAAAATTTCTGAAATATTCCTTAAATTCCTCAAAAGGCACTTATATTTTGTTTGTGTAGCATAATTTTTTGTCACAGCTATGCAAAATTATAATTTCAGAAGTAATCATGTTATTAATTTCTTTCTTTCTCTCAAGTGTTAATTTGTCCATTGTGTTTGTTAGTATTAGTTCATGACTAAGTGTAATTGAACTTCAAATTCAAAGTTAAGGACCAAGTGTCCTTAACTTTTGAACTTTGAATACAAAGTTAAGGACTGGCTGTCCTGAACTTCTGAACGTATAATTCAAACTTAAGGACTGCCTGTCTTTAACTTTTGAACTTGCATGTCAAACTTAAGGACTGCCTGTCTTTAACTTTTGAACTTGCATGTCAAACTTAAGGACTCATGTCCTTAACTTTTGAACGTGTAATTAAAACTTAAGGATTGTCTGTCCATAACTTTTTAACCTGCAAGTTAAACTTAAGGACTCTTTTCCTTAACTTTTGAACTTGAAACTCAAAGTTAAGGACAGACAGTCCTTAACTTTTGAACTTGAAACTCAAAGTTAAGGACAGACAGTCCTTAACTTTTGAACTTGAAACTCAAAGTTAAGGACAGACAGTCCTTAAGTTTTGAACTTTGAACTATAAGTTAAGGACTGTTTGTCCTTAACTTTTGAACTTGAAACTTAATGTTAAGGACAGACAGTCCTTAAGTTTGAACTTTGAAATATAAGTTAAGGACTGCATATCCTTAACTTTTGAACTTTCAACACAAAGTTAAGGACTGCCTGTCCTGAACTTTTGAACGTGTAATTCAAAGTTAAGGACTGCCTGTCCTTAACTTTTGTAAAGTTAAAGACAGACAGTCCTTAACCTTTAAACTTTGAACTCAAAGTTAAGGACTGTCTGTCCTTAACTTTTGAACGTGTAATTCAAACTTAAGGACTGTCTGTCCTTAACTTTTGAACGTGTAATTCAAACTTAAGGACTGTCTGCCCATAACTTTTTAACCTGCAAGTCAAACTTAAGGACTCTTATCCTTAACTTTTGAACTTGAAACTCAAAGTTAAGGACTGCTTGTCCTTAACTTTTGAACTTGAAACTCAAAGTTAAGGACAGACAGTCCTTAAGTTTTGAACTTTGAACTATAAGTTAAGGACTGTCTGTCCTTAACTTTTGAACCTATAACTCAAAGTTAAGGACTGGATGTCCTTAACTTTTGAACCTGCAAGTCAAACTTAAGGACTCATGTCAACCCTTTTCTTTATAAAATCCGTTACCAGTTAACAGTGTTTCAATACATATTTAACATAATATACATCTGAAAACAGTAGATTAAATGTGCGGAAGTCATAGTAATATCACCACATAGCCCACCGATCCGGTATCACAAGTCTGAGCCTTTAATACCAGTTTATCAACCTAATACATATCAATCTAGGGAATGCGGATAAAAACACAGGATAGAAAGGAGAGATCAGGGCTACGGACGCCATGCAGCAACCTCGATGCTCCCGGATATGCGCTGCTCAATTGAAAATCCTCACTCAGCCTCAGATGCACCTGGATCTGCATGTAAGGTGCAGGGAGAATGTGAGTAATCCGACACAGTGAGTAATAAGCATAAATAATGACTGAGAATAAGAAATTGTGGAGAATCACAGAGTAATCTATAATGCGGCAGTTTAAAACAAGTAATATGAAAACAATAAACCAATGAAAACAAAATATGATAATTCTACAACAAATAAGCAGTTAATGACAGACATATAAAGAAAATCAACACATAGAACGGTACCCTGTAGTACCCGCTACGGCGTGCAGCCCGATCCATATATTTATCGTCGACGGCGCTCACTGGGGGTGTGCAGACTCTAGGAGGGGCCCCTTACGGCCCAAGCGCAATATCACGCCCGATCCCATAGTATCCTCACATCTGGCCCTTGGCCGTATTGAGTCCAGAAATCATATAAGCCCCTCGGGCAATAGTAGAACAGTAGTTCTCAGCCCAAAAACATCATTTAATATATCTTTTAGTTTCAAATATCGAGTAAAAGTGGTTGAGTTGTAAAACAGTAGAAAACGGTACGACTGAGTTCAACTAGTAAATCAAAATAGTGAGAAAATAGTGATAAAAACTCCCCAAAAGGTTCAAATGGTTGGCACGAAGCCCAAATATGGCAATCAGTCCAAATAATGATGATAACAATTATGCTTCAATCAAATACGCGGTAAAAGCATCACTCGGGATAGACCAAGTCACAATCCCCAATAGTAAACGACCCCACGCTTACCATCAAGCGTGTGTCTCACCTCAATATAGCACTACGATGTGCAAATCCGGGGTTTGAAACCCTCAGGACATCATTTACATTCATTACTCACCTCGAACCGGCTAAAGCTCTAGCTCACTATGCCCTTGCCTCTCAAATCGGCCTCCTCGCGTGTCGAATCTAACCAAAACCAGAACGAATACGTCACAATAAGCTAAGGGAAAAAACCCAAGCGAAAACAATCGAAAAATATCAAAAATCCCGAAATTAGCAAAACCCGAGCCCCAGGCCCACTTCTCGAAACTCAGAATTTTTCAATCAACGGGTTCCTTATTCTTCCATGAGTTCATACATATCAAAAACTCTCAAATACGACCTCAAATGGCCCTTCAAATCCCAATTTAAAATCTCAAAATCCCAAGCCCTAGTTCTTCCATTTTTAGCTAAATTTCCAAGAATTTCTAGGTTAATTTCACAATATAATCACATTTTTAGTTCATAAAACTTACGTCCAATCAATCCTCCTTGAATCCCTTTTCAATTTCTCCCAAAGAGCTCCCAAAATACTCAGCTATGGTGGAAAAATGGCTAAGACTCGCGGATGAAATGTTTTAAAACCTCACTGCCCAGTCCTATAATTCCTTCATCGCGATCGCGTCCAAGGCCTCGTGATCGCGAAGGGCAAACTTCCAAGCTTCCAATACTACACTATGCGAACGCGACAGCAGCTCTGCGAACGCAAAGCTTCCTCACACAAAGCTATGCGAACGCGTGACCATACACGCGAACGCGAAGAGCAATCTCACCTGGACTCCAAAGTCTCATACGCGAACGCGAGCCATACGATGCGATCGCGAAGCACCAGATCACTACCTTCTGCGAACGCAAACCCTCAACCGCGAACGCGAAGGGCAAAACACCCGCCTTCCAAAAACCTTCTACGCGATCGCGAGGGACTTCCCGCGATCGCGATGACCAAATTTGTTTGCAACTATTGCTGCAATTTTCTGCAACCTTCCAAGACTCAAAACTTCGCGTTAGCCATCCAAAATCACCCCGAGGCCCCCGGGACCTCAACCAAATGTACCAACACATCCTAAAACCTCATTCAAACTTGTTCTCATCATCAAAACACCTCAAACAACGCCAAATCCATCAATTCACATCGAATTCAAGCCTAGCTTTTCTAAAAACTTCTGAATCACGCTTTTGATCAAAAACCCAACCAAACCACGTCCAAGTGACCTAAAATTTCGCGCACACATCCCAAATCACATAACGAAGCTACAGCAACTCTCGGAATTCCATTCCAACCCTCGGATCAAAATCTCACATACCAACCGGAAATCGCCAAAATACTAACTTCGCCAATTCAAGCCTAATTCTACACCGGACCTCCAAAATCACTTACGATCACACTCCTAAGTCACAAATCACCTCCCGAAGCTAACCAAACCATCAGAACTCACATCCGAGCCCTCTAACTCATTAGTCAACATTCTGTTGACTTTTCCAATTTAAGCCTTTTTAAAAGAGACTAAGTGTCTCATTTCTCATCCATTCCACTCCAAACGCAAACCAACCAAATCAACCACACAAAATACAGCTAACGAAGCATAAAGAAGCAGGAATGGGGGAAAACAAAGCGGTAACTCCTGAGACGACTGGCCGGGTTGTCACATCCCCCCCAACTTAAACAAACATTCGTCCTCGAATGAGTCAAGAGACATACCTGAAGCCTCAAACAGGTGAGGGTATCTACTCCGCATCTCCCGCTCGGTCTCCCAGGTAGCCTCCTCCACGGGCCGACCTCTCTACTGCACTTTCACTGAAGCTATATCTTTTGACCTCAACTTCCGAACCTGGCGACCCAAAATAGCTATTGGCTCCACATCAAAGGTCAAGTCATCATCCAACTGAACCGTGCAGAAGTCCAAAACATGAGACGGATCTCTAATATACTTCCGGAGCATAGAAACATGAAATACTGGATGCACGCTAGACAGGCTGGGTGGCAAAGCAAGCTCATAAGCCACCTCCCCAATCCTCCGAAGCACCTCAAGAGGCCCAATGAACCGCGAACTCAACTTCCCTTTCTTTCCAAATCTCATAACACCCTTCATGGGCGAAACCTTCAGCAAGACCTTCTCACCAACCATGTAGGATACATCTCGAATCTTCCGGTCCGCATAACTCTTCTGACGCGACTGCGCTGTACAAAGTCTCTCCTGAATCACCTTCACCTTCTCTAAGGCATCCTGAACCAAATCTGTCCCCAATAGCCTAGCCTCGCCAAGCTTGAACCAACCAACTGGAGATCTACACCGCCTCCTATACAAAGCCTCATACGGAGCCATTTGAATACTCGACTGGTAGCTGTTGTTGTAAGCAAACTCTGCAAGCAGCAAAAACTCATCCCATGAACCTCCAAAATCAATAAAACAAGCACGTAACATGTCCTCCAATATCTGAATAGTACGCTCGGACTGTCCGTCCGTCTGAGGATGAAATGTTGTGCTAAACTCCACCTAGGTACCCAACTCTCTCTGCACAACTCTCCAAAACTGTGAAGTAAACTGAGTACCTCTATCTGAGATGATGGAAACTGGAACACCATGCAACCGAACAATCTCCCGGATATAAATCCCTGCCAACCGCTCTGAAGAATAAGTAGTACACACAGGAATGAAGTGTGCGGACTTGGTCAGCCGATCCACAATCACCCAAATAGCATCAAACCTCTTCAAAGTCCGTGGAATTCCAACAACAAAGTCCATAGTAATCCTCTCCCACTTCCACTCGGGAATAACCATCTGCTGAAGCAAGCCACCCGGTCTCTGATGCTCATATTTCACCTACTTACAATTGAGACACCGAGCTACAAATCCCACAATATCTTTCTTCATTCTTCTCCACCATAGTGCTACCTCAAATCCTGATACATCTTCGCGGCACCCGGATTAATGGAATATCGCGAGCTATGGGCCTCCTCCAGAATCAACTTTCTAAGCCCATCCACATTGGGCACACAGATCCGGCCCTACATCCCCAACACAATGGTCACATCTCTAGCATCATCATGCTAAACTCTGTTAAGGACAAGCAAATGTGGATCATCATATTGGCACTCTCTGATGCTATCATATAAGGAAGACCGAGAAACCACGCAAGCCAACACCCGACTAGGCTCTGAAATATCTAATCTCACCAACCGATTGGCCAAGGCCTGAACATCAACTGAAAAGGGTCTCTCCCCAACTGAAATATACGCGAAACTCCCCATACTCACCGCCTTTCGGCTCAAAGCATCGGCCACTATATTAGTCTTTCCCGGATGATACAGAATAGTAATATTATAATCCTTAAGCAACTCTAGCCATCTCCGCTGCCTCAAATTAAGGTCCTTTTGCTTGAACAAATGCTGAAGACTGCGATGATCGGTGAATACCTCACAAGATACGCCATACAAGTAATGCCTCCAAATCTTCGATGCATGAACTATGGTAGCCAACTCTAAATCATGAACATGGTAGTTCTTCTCATGGGACTTCAATTGAAGAGAAGCATAAGCAATAACTCTGCCCTCCTACATCAATACGCAACCAATCCCAACTCTCAAAGCATCACAATATACGGTATATGAACCTGAAGCTGATGGTTACCAATAATAGAGTTGTGGTCAAAGCTGTCTTGAGCTTCCGAAAGCTCTTCTCACACTCGTTCGACCATACAAATGGAGCACCATTCTGAGTCAACTTGGTCAAGGGCGATGCAATGGATGAAAATCCCTGAACAAACCGGCGATAATAGCCTGCCAACCCAAGAAAGCTACGAATCTCTGTTGCTGAGGACGGTCTAGGCCAACTCTGAACCGCCTCTATATTCTTTGGATCAACCTGAATACCCTCGCTGGACACCACGTGTCCCAAGAAAGCTACTGACCTGAGCCAAAACTCACACTTGGAGAATTTTGCATAAAGTTTCTCCTCCTTCAATCTCTGCAATACAACTCTCAAATGCTCCGCGTGCTCGTCCTGACTATGCGAGTACACCAGAATATCATCAATAAATACAATAACGAACGAATCCAGGTAAGGTCGAAATACACTGTTCATCAAATGCATGAACGCTGATGGGGCATTGGTCAGCCCGAAAGACATGACAAGAAACTCATAGTGACCATATCTAGTCCTAAAAGCAGTCTTAAGAATATCTGAATCCCTGATCTTCAACTGGTAATAGCCCGAACGGAGATCAATCTTAGAGAACACCCTCTCTCCCTGAAGCTGCTCAAATAAATCATCAATGTGAGGCAAAAGATACTTGTTCTTAATTGTTAACTTGTTCAATTGCTTGTAATCAATGCACATTCTCATTTTGTCATCCTTCTTCTTTACAAACAGAACCGACGCACCCCACGGTGACACACTAGGCCGAATGAACCCCTTATCTAGAAGTTCCTGAAGCTTCTCTTTCAATTCTTTCAACTCTGCCGGTGCCATACGATATTGCGGAATAGAAATGGGCTGAGTGCCCGACGCCAGGTCAATACCAAAATCAATATCCCTGTCCGGTGGCATGCCCAGTAGGTCTGCAGGAAAAACATCAGGAAAATCCCTCACGGCTGGAACAGAATCAATGGTAGGAGCCTCGGCTCCAACATCCCTTACAAATGCTAGATATGACAGACAACCCTTCCCAACCATACGCTGGGCCTTCACGAAAGAGATCACTCTACTAGGAACATAATCAGTCACGCCATGCCACTCGATCCGCGGTACACCCGGCATAGCCAAAGTGACTATCTTAGCATGGCAGTATAGAATAGCATGAAATGGAGATAACCAATCCATGCCCAGAATAACATCAAAGTCCACCATGCTCAATAGTAATAGATCAACTCAGGTCTCCAGACCCCCAATAGCCATAACACATGACCGGTATACACGGTCCACAACAACAGTATCACCCACCGGGGTAGACACATGAATAGGTAAAGCAAGAAGCTCCCGAGGCGTACCCAAATAATGAGCAAATATGAGGACACATAAGAATAGGTGGAACCGGGATCAAATAATATAGAGGCGTCTCTGTGGTAGACTGAAACAACACCTATAATGACAGCATCTGAAGCAATAGCATTTGTCCTGCCTGGAATAGCATAGAAACGAGCCTGGCCACCACCTGATCGACCTCCCCCTCTGGGGCGACCCCTGGCTGCCTGACTTCCACCCCTAGCTGGCTGGGCGGGTGGTGAAGTAACTGGAGCAGAAGTCGAGGGCTGACCCCTCTGCTGAGACTGACCATCATGAAGTCGAGCGCACTGCCTCCTCATATGTCCAAACTCTTCGCACTCATAAAAACTACCCGGTGTTGGAGATGGGGACTGAAGGGAACCCCTAGCACCGGAGTGAATGGCAGATGCACTCGGCGATGAAGAACCCTAAGCTGATGGGGCATGAGATAAACTCTGAGTTGGGAGGGCGCTGAATGAAGGTTGGCCCTACTGAGACCCATGATGACCACGACCTGAAGATGCCCCACGATACTCTGGACGGGCCGACTGAGCAGGCCTGAAAGAACGACCTCTACCATACTGGAACTGGCCCCTCGATGGAGCACCACTGTAACTTCCCGATCCTCGAGGCCTCTTGGCCTCCCTCTCCTCTCGCTCCCTACGGCGAACCATCTCAATCTCACGAGCGATATCAACCACCTCCTCAAACGTAGAACCTAATACTCTCTCTTTAGTCATTAGAATACGGAGATGGTAGTTAAGGCCATCCACAAATCTCCTGATCCTCTCACGATCTGTCGAAATCATCCAAATGGCATGACGAGCCAACTCAGAAAACCTCATCTCATACTGGGTCATGGTCATATTCCCCTGCGTCAACCACTCAAACTGCCTACGCAAATTCTCTCTGTGGGACTGCGGTACATACTTCTCCAAGAAGAGAGCGGAGAACTGCTGCCAAGAAAGGGGAGCTGCACCGACAGGCCTACGCCTCTCAAAATCCTCCCACCAAGTAAAGGCAGCTCCCGAGAACTGAAAGGTGGTAAATGCCACACCACTAGACTCAAGAATCCAAGTTGTATGGAGCATCCGCTGACACTTGTCAAGAAAACCCTGGGCATCCTCGCCCTCATCACCACTGAACGATGGAGGCTGGAGCCTACCAAACCTCTCAAGATGACGCTGATCATCATCCGGCATGGTTGGTACTACGAACTCCTGAACTGGCGCAACCGGCTGAGCTGGAGGTGCCCCTAGCGTCTATAGTCCCTGCACTACCTGCTCAGGTGTGCGAGCAGCGGGGGTCTGATTGCCTCCCCCGGTCTGTGAAGTAGCTGTTGCGGTAGTGGCTGAAACTGCCTGAGCCAGGCCAGTGCAAACTAATAAGATCTGTGCCAAGGCCTCCTGAAGACCCGGAATCATGATGGTCACAACTGGTACCTGAACTGGTGCTGCTGGAGCCTGATCCGGAGCTGGGGCAGCTGGTGGATCAACAAGTGCTGCCCTTGCCGCCCTGCCTCTGCTACATCCACGACCGCGTCCACAGCCTCTGGTGGCCTCAATGGGTGGCACTGGTGGTCGTCCACCGGTAGCTCGCGTCCTCACCATCTGTGAAAGAATCGAATAACAGAAGTTTAGTTCTCGGATCAACAAAGTTGCACGACAAAATTTCAAGAATGTGAAGTTTTCCTAAAGGTTCTGCAACCTCTCGAGGATAAATACAGATGTCTCCGTACCGATCCGCGAGACTCTACTAAACCGGCTCATGACTTGTGAGACCTATGTAACCTAGGCTCTGATACCAACTTGTCATGACCCCAACCCCGGTCGTGATGGCACCCAACACATTGCTAGGCAAGCCCGACCAACAATCAATCTCAACCCTTTTCTTTATAAAATTCGTTACCAGTTAACAGTGTTTCAATACCAATTTAACATAATATATGTCTGAAAACAGTAGATTAAATGTGCGGAAGTCATAGTAATATCACCACATAGCCCACCGATCCGGTGTCACAAGTCTGAGCCTTTAATACAAGTTTACCAACCTAATACATATCAATCTAGGGAATACAGATAAAAACAAATGATAGAAAGAAGAGATCAGGGTTGCGGACGCCATGCAGCTACCTCAATGCTCCCGGATATGCGCTGCTCAACTGAAAATCCTCACTCAGCCTCAGATGCACCTGGATCTGCACGCAAGGTGCAGGGAGTAATGTGAGTACTACAACCCAGTTAGTAATAAGCATAAATAATAACTAAGGATAAGAAATCACGGAGAATCACAGAGTAATCTATAATACGGCAGTTTAAAACAAGTAATATGAAAACAATAAACCAATGAAAACAAAATATGATAATTCTACAACAAATAAACAGTTAAGTGATAGACATATAAAGGAAATCAACACATAGAACGGTACCATGTAGTACTCGCTGCGGCGTGCAGCCCGATCCATATATTTATCGTCGACGGCGCTCACTGGGGGTGTGCAGACTCCAGGAGGGGCCCCATACGGCCCAAGAGCAATATCAAGCCATCTCGTGGCATCAAATCTAGGCCTTCGGCCTCATATCAATATCAGTATAACACTGCTGCGGCGCGCAGCTCGATCCCATAGTATCCTCACATCTGGCCCTTGGCCGTATTGAGTCCAGAAATCATATGAGCCCCTCGGGCAATAGTAGAACAGTAGTTCTCATCCCAAAAACATCATTTAATATATCTTTTAGTTTCAAAAATCGAGTAAAAGTGGCTGAGTTGTAAAATAGTAGAAAATGGTACGACTGAGTTCAACTAGTAAATCAAAACAGTGAGGAAATAGTGATAAAAACTCCCCGAATGGTTCAAATAGTTGGCACGAAGCCCAAATATGGCAATCAGTACAAATAATGATGATAACAATTATGCTTCAATCAAATACGCGGTAAAAGTATCACTCAGGATGGACCAATTCACAATCCCCAATAGTAAACGACCCTACGCTCACCATCAAGCATGTGTCTCACCTCAATATAGCACTACGATGTGCAAATCCGGGGTTTGAAACCCTCAAGACATCATTTACATTCATTACTCACCTCGAACCGGCTAAAGCTCTAGCTCGCTATGCCCTTGCCTCTCAAATCGGCCTCCTCACGCGTCGAATCTGACCAAAACCAGAATGAATACGTCACAATAGGCTAAGGGAACAAAACCCAAGCAAAAAAATCGAAAAATATCAAAAATCCCAAAATTAGCAAAACCCGAGCCCCGAGCCCACTTCTCGAAACTCAGAAATTATTACATCAACGAGTTCCTTATTATTCCACGAGTTCATACATATCAAAAACTCTCAAATACGACCTCAAATGGCCCTTCAAATCCTAATTTAAAATCTCAAAATCCCAAGCCTTACTTCTTCCATTTTTAGCTAAATTTCCAAGAATTTCTAGGTTAATTTCACAATATAATAACATTTTTGGTTCATAAAACTTACCTCCAATCAATCTTCCTTGAATCCCTCTTCAATTTCTCCCAAAGAGCTCCCAAAATACTCAGCTTTGGTGGAAAAATGGCTAAGACTCGCGGATGAAATGTTTAAAAACCTCACTGCCCAGTCCTGTAATTCCTTCATCGCGATCGCGAAAGGCAAAATTCCAAGCTTCCAAAACTACACTATGCGAACGTGACAACAGCTCTGCGAACGCGAAGCTTCCACACACAAAGCTATGCGAACGCGTGACAATACATGCGAACGCGAAGAGCAATCTCACCTGGACTCCAAAGTCTCATACGCGAATGCGAGCCATACGATGCGATCGCGAAGCACCATATCACTACCTTCCGTGAACGCGGACCCTCAACCGCGAGCGCGAAGGGCAAAACACCCGCCTTCCAAAAACCTTCTACGCGATCGCGATGACCAAATTTGTCTGCAACTGTTGCTGCAATTTTCTGCAACCTTCCAAGACTCAAAACTTCCCGTTAGCCATCCAAAATCACCCCAAGGCCCTCGGGACCTCAACCAAAAGTACCAACACATCCTAAAACCTCATTCAAACTTGTTCCCATCATCAAAACACCTCAAACAACGCCAAATCCATCAATTCACATCGAATTCAAGCCTAGCTTTTCTAAAAACTTCCGAAACATGCTTTTGATCAAAAACCCAACCAAACCACGTTCAAGTGACCTAAAATTTTGCACACACATCCCAAATCACATAACGAAGCTACACCAACTCTCGGAATTCTATTTTGACCATCGGATCAAAATCTCACCAATCAACCAAAAATTGCCAAAATACTAACTTCGCCAATTCAAGACTAATTCTACACCGGACCTCCAAAACCACTTCTGATCACACTCCTAAGTCACAAATCACCTCCCGAAGCTAACCGAACCATCGGAACTCACATCTGATCCCTCTAACTCATAAGTCAACATCCGGTTGACTTTTCCAATTTAAGCCTTCTTAAAAGAGACTAAGTGTCTCATTTCTAATCCATTCCACTCCAAACGCAAACCAACCAACTCGACCACATAAAACACATCTAACGAAGCATAAAGAAGCAGGAATGGGGGAAAACGGAGCGGTAACTCCTGAGACGACTGGCCGGGTCATCACAAATTTATAGCAAAAACTTAAAAGAGTCGATAAACAAAAGTGGATATATCTACTATTCTCTATGCTTTCTTGAAAATGGATGGACTGCAGGAGAATATATACAAGCTATTCTATTATGACCAATTATTCTGCAACGACCACATTTGAATGTTATTTTTGATGACTCGGTAGCTGGAATATGCTTTTTCTTCTACCTTCTACCTGGTGGCACTTTGAAATCTAGAGGTTTAACAATTTGTGACTTAACAGTCTCTGGTACAATCCAAGAATCAGTATGTCCTACAGGATGTATTTGCCTTTCATATGTTTTCAGCCAAGATTCCTTTAAGTACCAGTGCGAACAAAAGTTAGACTTCTTGATGTTTCTCTTCTCGATAGCTGCAATTGCATGTATGTATGGTAATTCATTAAATTGAAACTGAAAACCATCACATGTTCTTTTGTTTAAGTCTACCAAGAAAGTTATTCCTTCTTCTTCAACTCTAGAACGCCAAGAATCAACAAGGAAGACCTTCAATGTTGAAAAATTATAAGTTAGTACATTATGTTAAATTATATTAAAATCATAAGTTAAACATAGAAGATAATACTTACATTCAAAGTAAATGCTAAATCTATTTTTTTTCTTCAATTCCTCCTCTACCCAACAAGAAACATCATAAAAAGTTCCTTTTGCTTCATTTCTTCTTTCATAAAACCAACGTTGTAGCTTCAACACTTGAATGAAATCTATCATTCTTAATATAGGCAGCTCCCTTGCTTCTAATAGGACAGAATTCATTGACTCAACTATGTTTGTTGTGAGCATGTCATATCTTCGTCGTAGACTACAAGAACGTGCCCCCCTTTCCGGTGGCTCTTCCATCAAGTAGTCATAAGTCTTCTTATCTACTTTTGCTATATCTGACATGTATAAGTCAAATTCTTTGCACATGTATACTCTTGCAGCACTTTGGAAAAGCTTTATGACCTCACTTTTCACCTTCCTTCGCTTTAGGTTCTGCTCCAAATGATAGATGCAAATCCCATGATGGATTTCAGGATATACCTTTGCAATGCCATATGCAATAGCTTGATGCCTGTCTGCTAAAAAAATTAAATTCTCACGGCTCCCAATTGCATTGCGGAGCTGACTAAAGTACCACTCATAGGAATTGTTATTTTCAGATTCTGCTATTCCAAAGGCTAGTGGGAAAATTTGGTTATTTGCATCATCTGAAACTGAAATCATCAAAATACCACGAAATTTTGACTTCAAAAAAGTTGCATCAACAGCAATCACCGGTCTACAATTATTCCAACCAGATATTGATGATCCATATGCATAAAACATATAAAGAAACCTGAAAATACAATATAAAACAAGGTTAACAGAAGTTAAGGATAAGTAGTCCTGAACTTCAGATTATAAGGTTAAAAGTTAAGGACGGTCAGTCCTTAACTTAGAATTTCAAGTTATAAAGTTAAGGACATGCAGTCCTTAACTTTGAGTTCAAAGTTCAAAACTTAAGGATAGGCAGTCCTTAACTTTGAATTACAAGTTCAAAAGTTAAGGACAACCAGTCCTGAACTTCTGGTTATAACTCAAAAGTTAACTGGTTAAAGACAGCATGTCCTAAATTTTATAAAATGTACTAATAAACTTTTTTTTTTATTGTTTACCTGTTGTTGTCGTCTATCTTTATGTTAGTATAAGTTCTCGGGTTTTTACTTGTCATCATATACAAGTATGAAGACAATAATTCATAATTCTCTTCGGGAGTTCCTCTTATTAAAGCGGAAGCAAGTTGGATAGCACGCCACGCCTTGTGATATCCATTGTCTAGTCCATGCAATTTTTGCATCTCTGTCATGACAAAAGCTGGTGTAACTTCAAACCTTGGGTCTCGAAGATTGTCAATAATGTAACCACTAATCAACTTTGAAGTTGCATGTCTTTGATCAGCTTTCATAGTGTTAACAGAGTAGTCATGCTTTTTCTCAATTTTACTATCTTGAACAATGTTGAATCTTTAATTCTGAAAGCACGCACACATCAACCATTGTAAGTTAAGGACCAACTCTCCTTAAATATTGAAAGTTCATGACCAAGTGTCCTAAACTTTTCAACTTGAAACTCAAACTTCAGGACCTAGTATCCTTAACTTTTTCAAAACAATTTGCAAAACTATGACAGTATGTCCTTAATATACAGAAGAACAGCAACAAAGTTAAGGACATTGTGTCCTTAACTTTTTCAATTCAATTTGCAAAATCAGGACACTATGTCCTTAATATTATGTGCTCAATTTTTATAGAATTATCACAGGACGCAATGTCCTTAACTTTATCAATCCAGAAATTCAAAAAAAAAAAAATCAAATTTCTACTTACTGTATAAAAATCAATAGAAATCGGAAAAAGTATAACTATGTCGAAATAAAAATCAATAGAAACACATAAAAGTATAACTTACGATTTTTGGATGAGAATGTTGAATTTTATAGTTTGAAATCGAAAGAGAATCTTCTGCAATTTTGACGATCGTGTAGAAATCTTCTATAGTTTAGCGTTGCCGCTACTGCTGCTTATCGCGTAGGTATAAGTTATAGCAGAAGGATATAAGTTTATTAAACCAGTGACTAAAAACTAAAGACATTTAAAACACTGGCTTTAAAATAAAGACAAGTGCTATTAGTGGCTATTTGTGCACATCGCCCTATTAATTTAGAGCAGCCCATCAGGCGTTGGTAGACATAGAAAGCACCAACCCGTTATCCTTCACCCGCACATGGCGGGAGCTGCTCGTTGCTCTGTGAACCAACCTCACGCAATCCACCCTACTTTAGGACAGCAGCCCATGGATTCACTCGGGCAATGTATGTTACGTTCATATTTCGTCCATGTTAGTTTGCTATTTGAAGGCACAGTTTACTTTGTGAATTCGTCATAAGGTACATTCAACTACTTCTTGCTTTGTGACTTTGACTTTTGCATGCCTAAGACCTGGTAATATGTATCATATCCCCATATGTTCCATTCATCTGCTACACTATTGGTTGCATTGTAGAAGCTTCAAACTTTTAAGTTCAAGCCCTTTAGATGCTACCAGATTTTGTTAGTTTGATCCTGCACTAGTTGCTTCTTGATGGATAATCATCCATCAAGTATATTGTTCACTGATCTATGTTTGTCGACTCGAATTCAGTGATGTCCTCAATTCTCCAAACCTGCGGACACCCTATATCTGGTTTATGTAGAGTGACTGTTAAAAGTTTTATGCTAAGAAATCTTTTGATCCCAACAAAAAGGAACAAAGAACACTTGTAAACTGAAACTCTTCATTCAGATAAGATTCAGTACCCAATTCTTCCTTCCCAGTTGCATCTAAATCCTGACTTAGATCTTACATGTATTATGAGGAAACAAAACAAAATATTTAGTACTATGGCAAACTGGTCTTGAATAGCATAAAATCTGTTGATGACAAAACATTATTTGCAATCAGTTAGAGGTACAAAGAGTCCACCATCTTTATCACTCAACAGGATCAAATTCAAATAAAAATCCAACTCTACTGACAAAGCTCTAGGTTTCGGGGACCTTGGCAATTTTCAGCTCCCTGTCAAAACAATCACCATAGTTAAATTCAGATGATGGAAACATGATTTCAGAACAAAAGGGAAGTGGCTTGACAACCATGACTACCACCATAGAAGATAAAGCCCACTTCACAATACGAAAGTGAGGGAAAAAATATTTTTTTCTCCCTACGAGCAACTCAGAGAAGGAAATTAAAAAAGGGCAACCCGGTGCACTAAGCTCCCGCTATGCGCGGGGTCCGGGGAAGGACGGACCCCGGACCACAAATGTTTATTGTATGCAGTCTTACCCTGCATTTCTGCAAGAGACTGTTTCCACGGCTCGAACTCGTGACCTCCCGGTCACATGGAAACCACCTTACCAGTTACGCCAAGGCTCTCCTTCTGAGAAGGAAATTAATTTTTTTATACCCAAGTACATTTAACGAAGTGTATAGATGGTGCCCCTGTTAGCGACATTTCGACATACCACCAAAATGGTTCATTCTTTTCATGTAATCGATTGGTTTTTTAACTTTCCATACTACTAGTTTTAGAAAAGAGCAAGTAGCTCATAAGGTTGACCAACTTCCAAGAGTAGATTTTCCAAGTGTCAGGAAGGTTAGAAGAAATAACAAGCGGTGCACCAGGAGTGGTGTGCAAGCTTAATATTTTCGGGTCTTCCGGGGCTTATTCAAGATTGCCCAAATTTTTGTAATTTTCTGCAAAATCTCAAAATTATTAGGTTAAAATTAAATGCCTTGAATTTTGAAACTTTACAAGCTTGGCATGAAAGCTTAAGTTTTTTTGGTCCTTCGGGGCTTATACAAGATTTCCCAGATTATTCCTATTTTCTGCAAAATCTCAGAGTTATTACGTTTTATGCCTTCATTTTTGAAATTTTTAGCTGAGCTGGCAACCCCGGCTCTATATATGAATAAAATTGTTGCTCTAATGTCTATCCAGGGGGAAAAACAAGGAAAAGAAGACGAAAAAAGCTTAGTTTTGCTCTAACAAAAAAATCTTTCCTTTTCTGCCAAGTGAAAGGAAAGAATGTTGACTGGCTGAGACATGTTAGAGCAGGCAAATCATTGGGATCCAAAACAAGGGAGGGATAACCATAAGATGGAGCAAAGCAGGAAAGGGCCATTGTCGGGCTCCTAGGAAAGGGGTTTGAAGGATGGAACATATGGGCTCATGTGCTAAAAAATTGTAATATTAGATCAGAATGTTGAACGACAGATGCAAACTAGAGATGAGCACGGCAAAGAAGAAAAGAGAAAGACAAAAGGGAAAAGAACTCAAGGAATTCCAACTAACGTCCCTTGAAATATCTCACAATGACAAGGTTGCTGCATGATTGACAGAATATAAAATGCATTGGAATTTTATAAAACTTCTTTTCTATACTTCTAATGGCATCATCTTGAAAGAGTTATATGACCCTTTTCATTGTTCTCCTACTTCCACCTCCTCGTGGTAAAACAGAGAACCATTCGCAATGACCTCAAGAAGATAAATGAATTGTTTATATAATTGCAAAAATTTATGATAATTATAGTTAAAAGAATCTCCAGTTTGCTCAAAAGATTTGGCAGTGAAGTTTTCTTTTCTTAAATCGGTAAAAACTTGGCAGTAAAGTTGTTGCTGGACACATAACCACCTATTTGAATTACTACCCAAGGCACTCACGGTAATGAAGCAAGATTTGGATGTTATATAGTCAAAATCACTTGTGCCAGCCGCTGCACAAATATAAGAAGCGACGACGCCATTGCTATCATGTGCTTTAACAATAGCAAGCTACTTCAGCATGTTTTTTTTTAATTAAGTAATTGATTCCATTGCTGGCATCAAGAAGATGCACTACTTCAGCATGTTCTAAATGTCACCAAGCTAAGAGGATACTGGTTTTCCATCACAAAAGATCTTGGTTGATTTAATTTTCACAGTAAAACTTATAGCATAAAAACTGGACAAGCTAGATATTCAAAACTTCAAGAATATTATGAAATAGTGACCTTGGCTGTTTGCTCTATAGTTGAAATAAAAGGTGCTCCATAGTTCAGAGGGTAGGAGCTCTTCATGGCAAAAAAGAAAAAGATCCATTCCATTTCCGTGCTACCTTTGGTAACTGTGAGATTGCTGGGACTTTCCAGAAGAGAAGGGGGTATCAGACTTTTTGATGTACAACTTAACTACCTTAAATGAGCTAAATAACCAACAGAGACGTACAATAAGTTCCATAAAATAAATAGAATTCTCTTTTACTTAGCAATCGTCTCATGCCCCATATATAAAGTCGAACGTCCATAAAACCCAGGAAATTTTTTAATCATCGGATCATCCAGCCACTCATATCTCAATTAGATGAAGCATGATTAGGCAAAATCAAAATAACTGATTATTCAGTCAAAGTAATGGTGGAAGATATGCATCAGTGGCAAAGAATTCCAAGATGTGTTACTATAATCCCAACTATGCATGATGTCAATTCTCCAAAGAAATAGAGGACATGTCCTACCACCTACCAAGCTCCATAAACTCTCAGAGAAAAGTCTCAATTTCCTAAAGGAAAAGTTGATGGTAAAAGACCTGCATCACTGGCAAAGGATCTGAAGACTGTTACTCCAATCTCAATCATGCACCAGTTAGTTCTCCAAGCAACACTGTGCGTTATATTTTTCCACCTAATCAAACACCATCATGATCTCCTTAACTTTAATTCAATGTAAGCCCAATCTTATACTCCCTCCGTTCCAATTTATGTGAACCTGAAACTGGGCACAGAATTTAAATAAAGTTTCTCATTAAGGGTAGAATTTTAAGTTTAAGCTAAATTGTTTCTAAATTTAGAAAGAGATCATTCTTTTTGGAACGGACCAAAAAGGAAATAAGTTCACATAAATTGAAACGGAGGGAGTATTGGTTAATTGATTCTTGTTCTGCCACATGCCACCCTATTTTAGTTCTAAATGAGTCACACATAGACCGACCTTTTTATATGTACTTGGCACAATGGTGTCTAGAAAGTTTACAAAAATACTACATAGAAAATGGTTTGTTTTTAAAAGCACTAACTCTTGTCATAGCAACGTTTCGCACAGCACCTGTGTTGATCATTATCAACTCCCTCTTCACTAAGTTGTCCTTACAACTTTACAAGTGATACTCAAACACTAAGGGGTTGTTTGGTATGAGGTATAAGTAGATAGAGTGCTGGTATAAAAATTTAATACCACATTAATACTTTGTTTGGTTAGAAAACCTGCTATAAGTTATCCCGATAACTTATACCTTGTAGGGGGTGGGGTAGTTAGTGCCGGGATAACTTATACCTTCTTCTAGAAATTATGCAAATGTCATTTTTAATACAACATACCAAACAGTGG